GCCGCCGCCGTGACCTCCACCTGACCTCTGTCCACCGCCTCGTTAATGGCGATCACCGCCGCATGGACTGATGGGAAAAAGACACCAGTTCACCGTCTTGTCCTTCCCCCCCTTGCCTCCCCTCCTCACCTATCCCCCCCTCCCCCATGTGACCTCTACCTGCAGCCTCGTCCACTGACATCTCATTGGCCAGAATTCCTCCAATCTTGTTGAATGCCGGCATCTGGATCCCATATTTATCCAGCTCCAGCTTCATGTTGTCGATCCTCCTCTGAACACAGAGAATTTTAAACTCAGACTTCATGTGCACTGAGCTGATATCGGTTACTGTTAACCAGTGACACCAGGTGGAAACAAACAGTTACCTGTGAACTTGACCTTTCCATACAGGTCGTGGATCTGTGGAGCCAGACCTCGTCTGTACAGGTACAGGCTGCACAGACAGGCAGAGGGAGAGACAGACTGAATGAACTCCACCTTCAAATCACAGCCTCAGGGAACTTCTGTAGGCAGTGAACGCACTAAAAGAAGCTCGTGCGTAGAGCTCTCTATGCTATCAAACAGAAATTCCCAATTAAAATATCTGACAGTGTCATTAAGCTGCTCTGTGGAAGTGAAGTTTGGGTCCACTCAGTCATCATAGCTACATCAGAAGGGAGAAGCACCGAGACCCTACATGCAGAATTCTGCAGAAACATCCTGCACTTTCAAAGAACGTCTCCTACAGAGGCATGTAGCGCAGAACCAGCGAGGTTCCTCTGACAGGAGCACTAAACCTCATGCACCCCAGATCAAGTCCCCAAGACCCCCTCCAGGTCAAGGCTTATCAAACCCTGAAGAGTCCCTTAAGCATGATTTATACTTCTGTGTCAGGGCTACGCCGCTACGCACGTAGCCATGCATTTACACTTGTGCGTCGGTGTCTGTGTCGTCCTGCAATTACACCGCCCAACGCCAGTCCACTGTGTTGACATTTAGCAGCCGAGCAGGCTAACTTCCTGTTTAGCCATCAGCTAACTTTAAAGAGGTGGAATTCTGCTCATTTTCAGGTTCTTATTAGGGTTGTAACAGAAAAGGTTTACATGGTTTAAAAAAACTACAAACGAGCCGTTTTCAGTTCGGAGCAGAGTTTTCTGTGGAGATGGAACTCCCTTTGGGCTTTTTCACTTTGCAAACATGTTACAGCACAAAAAAGGAATATAACTCAATAAAGGAGAGGGAAAAAGCCAAAAGCAGAACACCACCTCTTTATGGGGTGCGGCTGGTGTAGCCTTTTCAGATGTTATCGACCGAATGGATCACATTGTGAGGAGAGACGTAGTTGATGTTGTTGTTTGGACTGAGACTGAATAAGCAGATGTGTTAGAAACGAACGTGTTGAAACGGAGTTGTAAGAGTTTGATGAAGTTCTAAGGAAGCGCTGAATATCTCGCGGCATCTCCACCAGCATCACGTGTTTCAGTGCGGGGTCCGTCCGGTTATTGTTTTTAGTTATTTTCCCTCTTCAACAAATGAACTAAGGAGACACCGTTTCACACGCGCACAATCTTTTTTTTGTAGGCACAGTCACTAAAGAGGAAGTGACCATGTGACCAACTGTTGCCGTCATGACTGAGATCTACACCAAAGTGTTTATTTATTGATTCATTTGCTGCAGGTGAAACAATGCGAGACACATTTGGAACAAGTGAGGGAGGTGTCACATCGGCCCCTGTGAACAGGCCCCGTTCCTAATAAAGCTTATTGAAATGAGAGAGTCAGGCTTCTGACAGTCAGACAGGTGAACACCCTGAGGGCGTGGATGCAGTAGACGGCTCTCGGCATGTTTTTCTTGTCGTACACGTCTGTAGTTTCTGGTGGAAGATCTGAAATAACAACAAGCGATTACTGATCGATACTCCGATCAGCTGATCAACAACCTGATCAGTCAGTAACAGTCTGCTCACTGACCGTCGGCAGCCCGAGCGTCGTCATGGCGATCCTCCAGTGGTTGATGTTGTCGTGTGACGGAACTGAAGACCCACAACCTGATCAGATCAACACACAGCTGATTATTAACAGGTTAGCACATCCTGATATTAATAATATTAGTAATAAAAATAATCAGCACGGTTTTTGAACAGTAGAGAACTGGCTGTGTGTGAGACCTGGTATCGGAGCTGGTCCGGGTCATAGATCTTCTTCAGGGGGACGGCGTTCGGAGCGAATCGGTGACCCAGCTTGGCGAGAATGACCCCGTTCCTCAGCGCTTCCTCCAGCTCGGTGGGAGCAGGAAGCTCCTCCCCCAGACACGCCTCCATCCACCTGAGGAAGAGGAGACAGTGAGGTCATATGAGATGTCACTGAGTACAGAAACTGCATGACGTGGACCTCCGAGGACGAAGAAGAAGAAGAGACGATGTTGATGATGCTGTTCTGACCCGCCTACTGACCACCAGCTCTCTGGAAAATGACATCACCATCTGTAGGAGATCCCACAGACCGTTTATAGGCTGCTTTATGTTTGGACGGCGACTTCATCCTACAGAGACTGAAGTACTAACTAGTACTAAGAACTACCTGTTGTAGGTTTTTAAAGCTTCAGTGTGTACGTTTTAGTGCCATCTAGTGGTGAGGGTTGCAAAATGCAACCAGCAGCTCACGGTGCATTCAGGTGCTCCTCTGATTGTGAAGTCATTCTTCAGACTTCAGTGTGTTCATGTGCTCATAAGTCTGAACAACATGGATGCTGCTACAAAGACGAGCAGATAAACAACACGCAGACATCTAGTCCACTCTGCGTGGACAGCAAACTAACCGTTAGAACCAGGTTACACTTTACATGTTTGCAAAATATCCAATACCTGCTCTGTACGCTTCTTTATGTCCCATGTTCACTTTATTTCTCTTTTGGCAATAAAGATTTAAGGAGGAAAAAGATTCTGATCATTCTGACACCACATGAATGCACCATCAGTCCCCCCCCCCCCCCCCCCCTCCTCCCTCCTCCCTTTGTAAGCGAGCAGGAGAAGCAAAGATGGCCGACTATTGAATAATATAGTCCCAAATGTTTTGTAGCTGTATGAAAAAGTTTTGTACCTGTGCGGAAAATCTGATCAGAAAAATCCAAAGTTTACAGGCACGTACTTTTGTCCCACATTTGACACGATCTACTGAATAGCCAATGGGAATGCTCGGGTTAACATATCATTTGACTAACCAATCAGGAATGTCAGTTCACCATCCAGACATTTCTGTCTACAGACACCGCGAGGCCTCTTAAAGGGACGCCGCCATGTTTCTACATATGTATCCAGCACAATTCTGAAACACGCTCTGTAGAGCAGTTTGTCCGTTTTCAGCTACTGTAGAAACATGGCGGCTCAACATAGTGGCGTCCCTTTAAGAGGCCTTGCGGTGTCTGTAGACAGAAATGTCTCATTCTGAGGTGATAAAAACAGAACGGTTCATCATGTCACACCGCTGAGAACACAGGTATGGATCTTAGATTGTAGACCCTCCTGAATGTTCCACACTGGACCTTTAAATAAATTAATCTGATGGTGGAACGACCACTAATTCAGAGCCCGAGGCCGTTAATGTGGAAACGCCGTCACGCAGCCGAGCTACACGCTATCAGAAGACACCTGTTCATTCAGACATTCACACGGTCTTCCTGCCTGTGTCAGCTGTGTCTCAGTCTAGCGTCACAGTTTGCTCTTGGTTTGTAAAATATGACGCTCCGCGGCCAGTAGACCGTCCACGTCTGCGACTGGCCATCTGCTGCTGACTCCGCCTCTTTTATATGAACACGATCCAGGATCGGGAAACCAGCTTTATGTGACGGCTGATCCTGAAGCCTGATAACAGAGAGAGATCCTGGTGTGTTGAACTCGCTTCGTGGATCACTGACCTCTTGGCCTCCTCCAGCCTGCAGAGATACTGATAGGCCACATTCTGGATCCTCTGCTCATCCATCTGCTCTGCTGTCAGACGCTCATCTGAACAAAGACAGTAGACGGGTCAACAGGCAGACGGGTAAACAGGCAGACGGGGTAAACAGACAGACGGGCAGACGGGTCAACAGGCAGACGGGGTAAACAGGCAGACGGGCAGACGGGTCAACAGGCAGACGGGGTAAACAGACAGACGGGCAAACGGGTCAACAGACAGACGGTCAACAGACAGACGGGTCAACAGACAGACGGGCAAACGGGCAGAGGGGCAAACGGCCAGAGGGGTAAACAGACAGACGGGTAAACAGGCAGACGGGGTAAACAGACAGACGGGCAAACGGGTCAACAGACAGACGGGTCAACAGACAGACGGGTCAACAGACAGACGGGCAAACGGGCAGAGGGGCAAACGGCCAGAGGGGTAAACAGACAGACGGGTCAACAGGCAGACGGGGTAAACAGACAGACGGGTCAACAGGCAGACGGGCAAACGGGCAGAGGGGTAAACAGACAGACGGGTCAACAGACAGACGGGTCAACGGGTAAACAGACAGACGGGTCAACAGACAGACGGGTCAACGGGTAAACAGACAGATGGGTCAACAGACAGACGGGTCAACAGGCAGACGGGCAAACGGGCAGAGGGGTCAACAGACAGACGGGTCAACAGACAAGACGGGTCAACGGGTAAACAGACGGGTCAACGGGTAAACAGACGGGTCAACGGGTAAACAGACAGACGGGTAAACAGACAGACGGGTAAACAGATAGACGGGTCAACGGGTAAACAGACAGACGGATAAACAGACAGACGGGTAAACAGACAGACGGGTAAACAGATAGACGGGTCAACGGGTAAACAGACAGACGGATAAACAGACAGACGGATAAACAGACAGACGGGTAAACAGACAGACGGGTAAACAGACAGACGGGTAAACAGATAGACGGGTCAACGGGTAAACAGACAGACGGATAAACAGACAGACGGATAAACAGACAGACGGGTCAACAGACAGACGGGTCAACAGACAGACGGGTCAACGGGTAACAGACAGACGGATAAACAGACAGACGGTCAACGGATAAACAGGCAGACGGATAAACAGGCAGACGGGGTAAACAGGCAGACGGAGCAAACAGGCAGACGGGGTAAACAGGCAGAGGGCAAACAGGCAGAGGGGCAAACAGGCAGACGGAGCAAACAGGCAGACAGGTAAACAGGCAGACGGGGTAAACAGGCAGAGGGGCAAACAGGCAGACGGAGCAAACAGGCAGACGGGTCAACAGACAGACGGGTCAACGGTAAACAGACAGACGGATAAACAGACAGACGGGTCAACGGATAAACAGGCAGACGGATAAACAGGCAGACGGGGTAAACAGGCAGACGGAGCAAACAGGCAGACGGGGTAAACAGGCAGAGGGGCAAACAGGCAGAGGGGCAAACAGGCAGACGGAGCAAACAGGCAGACGGAGCAAACAGGCAGACGGGTCAACAGGCAGACGGGTCAACAGGCAGACGGGTCAACAGGCAGACGGGTCAACAGGCAGACGGGTAAACAGGCAGACGGGTCAACAGGCAGACAGGTAAACAGGCAGACGGGGTAAACAGGCAGACGGGGCAAACAGGCAGACGGAGCAAACAGGCAGACGGAGCAAACAGGCAGACGGGTCAACAGGCAGACGGGTCAACAGGCAGACGGGTCAACAGGCAGACGGGTAAACAGGCAGACGGGTAAACAGGCAGACGGGTAAACAGGCAGACAGGTGGGTTCGTGTGCAGCCTTTAAACTATAATTTTTCTCTTCTTGTTTATTTAAATTATAAAAGGTTTAGTGTTTTTGTGATCCGAGTGTCGACTGATAGAAACACTGATAACAGCCTGACCCTCTCAGGTGTGAGACTTGACCATATTTCGCTGAGGGAACCTCTGGACTAAATAATATTATAACTACTGAAGTCGATGATGAAATGAAAGGTTAATATTTATCTGATGTGAATCTTCCAGAATAAATCAGTTATCAAAGTGTGAAAGTTGGCAACAAATCAAACTATTTCTAACCATAACTGCTTTTAACTGCTTTTCTACATTAAACTAGTGTTTCCTTCAGTTATTGATCCACTTAATAAAAAGACTTGTAAACCTGATAAACATGGCAGGAGGCAGAACAGGTTGTAGAGGGAACTTCTGCCACGCAGCAGACAAAAGACATCAACATAGAAGCAGTTATTCTAAACATGGTAAACAGAAATAAACTATCTTCAGTGGAGCTCGATCAAAAACAGGATACTTTATTAAAGTCTGATAAAGTGACTCACAGCGACTGTGTCCGGCTGAATCCGCCATGTTAATCAGCTCGGTCCTCTCGGTGATCAAACTTCTCTCCAGTGTGACTTCACAGCGTGATGAAAACCTGAGCTCGGTCCTGGTTCTGGTTCTGGTTCTGAGTCTCGGTGGTCTGAAACTGTCCGCTGCTCCAGCTGCTTCCGGTCTAAAGTTTGAAAACTCCCGCCGTCCTCTGATTGGCCGAACGACCAGCCGCTTCTCCCATTGGTTCTAGCGTTGCCGCAGTGGCTTGTGGTCAATGTATGTTGCTGTCGTTAAAACAAACTTTTAGTTTTTGAAACTTCTTCATGTTATTAGACTCAGACAGTTGGTTTATATTCATCCATCCATCCACCGTAAACCGCTTATTATTTAACGTTATTTATTATTTATTTATTTCGTTTCCTCGTCGCCATAGTAACGACGAGTAGGCGTTGCTATGGCTGCCAGCCGCTTCTTCAAACACGTCACTTCTTATTAAAACATATCGATCTTCCTCCTTCAGTTATTGACAGCTGATCGACGGACGGCTCCGCGTGAGGAAGCTTCACCTGTAACCTGTAAGTGTTCACCTGTTAGCTAGCGCTGCTAACAGTTAGCCGGGGTCATCAAACAGTCAGAGACCTCTAACCTGCCTCACTTTAATAATAACAACAACACAGTCTTTATTTAAAAACATTTCATCGAATCTGAAATATTTAAAGCAGAAACGTTTGGATTTGATTTTATTGGGTAAATAATTTATTCACAATCTTCCTTATTCTGCCTCTCATTTTAGTTTCTTTCATGTTCAGTTTATTGATCATCAGTTTGAGCTTCATGTGCTGAGGCCTCCAGCAGAGGGCGCTGTTAGCTTTAGCTTTAGCTTTAGCTGAACCCAAACAGGAAGTGGAAAGGTGGCTCTTCAAAATAAATCTCTGTCTCCTTCACACAAAATATAAATTTGTGAGCTTGAAACAGAATAATGCTCCACTGGAGGAACTGGATGTTTCGTCCATATTTTATTAATCAGGTAAAAACATTTAATCTGTTTCATTTTACACTTTAATAATGATGAGAGTTTTTATTATTATTAATGTTGTTGTTGATTGTTGGTCAGATCTGATGAGCAGTCTGAGGACTTCATTATATTATATTGATCACATATAGATTACTGTAAATTACTGATCAATCGAAACTATGAGCTGATTCATTGATAACAGCAGCCATGCTTCTCAGGTGTGTTTCTGTCTCTTCAGACCCTGTCCAGGTGAGGTCTCCTCCTGCAGGTCCAACATGGCGTCTGATGCGTCTCGTTCAGGTGACGGCGAGGTTAAGGTGAGGAGGAGGAGCGAGGAGAGGAGGAGCGAAGACAGAAGGAGCGAAGAGAGGAGGAGCGAGGAGAGGAGGAGCGAGGAGAGGAAGGAGGTTCAGGAAGCGGCATCGAGGAGTTAACGTCTGCCGGTCACAGAGCGCTGCAGGAGGGCCGGACGGAGGACGCTTTGACCTGCTTCAACCACGCACTGAAGGCTGCAGGACAGGTGAGGGTCTGAGGTCAGAGGTCACCTACAGGTGACTCTGCTAACAGACTCCATGTACAGAGACTGAGTGCAACAGATTTTCTGAAAACGTAGTTCTGGTTCTTCACCTGTTGGTGGCACAGCACACGGTGACACCTGCACCTAACACGAAGTGAACAAAGGGCCTCAGGTGTGGGCGGGACTTCAGTGCACTCTGTCTCTATACAGTTTACACAGTGGAGGCTCATTGGCTGCTGCTGTTTGTTACAGCGAAGCGTCAGAGCACGACTCCGCGTGGGAGTTTCACCACATCTACTAACAGCTGACATGAAGTTATGATACAGGATAGTAACAGTATAATATCAACAGTAGTAGTATTTACAGTAGTAGGAGTACTTACTGTAGTAGTGGTACCTGCAGTAGTAGTAGTAACAGTAGGAGTATTTACAGTAGTAGTAGCACTAGTGGCAGATTTTCAGTCTGAGTATTATTGGATCTCAGTACTGCACTCCACCACAACATGGAACTGACCCACTACAGAACTGGGCTGGACTTTCTGGTACTGTCCTAAACTGGTCTGAATCCTACATGTAGGACAGGGACAACTTTGTGTCTGCTGGTTCCGCTTCTGTTGAACATCTACATGCTGCCACTGGCCCAGATTATGAAAACCACCGATATGCAGACGACTCACAGATTTACATAACAAAACCTGCAGGTGACCGCGATCCAAACAGGCACTGAGGTTCTGCATGGAACTAACCAACAACTGGACGGGGCAGAATATTCTTTAATTTAATAAAGTCACTGATTAAAAGTCAGAGCTCAGCTTCGGTCAGTAATTTTTGAAAACCACAAGCCAGAGATCCTGAACTCAGAGCTGAACTTTAGCAGCCACATTAAGACAAAGTCAGTCTGCTGTCAGCTGAAGAACAGATCAGGGACTAAAGGACTTGTGTCTCAGCAGGACCTGGACCTGCATTTTTCTTCAGCCGACTGGTCTTTACAGGTCTACCTGAAACCTGGACCGCAGCAGATTCAGAACGCTGCTGCTCGAGTCCTCACTAAGACCAACACAGTGGATCACATGAGTCCAATTCTGAGGTCTTTACACTGTCCTGTCTGACAGAGAACTGGTTTTAAAATCCTGCTGCTGGTTTACAAAGAACAGTTTCTGATCTTCTGCTCCATTATGAACCATCCAGACCTCTCAGCTGGTCTGGGATCAGGTCTGCATTCTATCCCCAAACTAAACCTGGTTTTATGCTCCATATATCTGGAACAAACTCTCAGAAACCTGCAAATCTGCTGAAACTCAGTTCTTTAATTAAACTTCAGGCTTTAGATTAAAAACCTCCACTGTTTTACTCTTTTATCATGTTTTTAAAATCAGTATTTAAATATTTCCCTGTTCTTCAAATCTTTGGATTTCCTTGTTGAAATGTACAAATAAACCTGCGTTACCTGCAGTAATATTAGTACTTACAGTAGTTTTAGTATTAACAGTAGTATTAGTACTTGCAGTAGTAGTACTTGCAGTAATAGTAGTAGTACTTGTAGTGGTCATAAAACTCTTGTTGATTTCCCATCATGCTCTGCTCCTCTTCAGCTGCAGGACTCGCGGGTCCTCCGGGCCTGTTCTTTTAACCTCGGTGCAGCCTATGTGGAGGCGGGCCGGCCTCAGAAAGGTCTGGACCTCCTGCGTCTGGCTCAGTCTGGTCCGAAGGCCGACCGGCTCCCGGACCTCCAGTTCAACCTGGCCCTGGCCCACAATGAACTGGGGCAGAACCAACAGGCCGCCGCCTACTTCCTGCAGGCCGCTCAGCTGTACCGGTCACAGGGAGACGGAGGCAGCGAGGGGGACGCCTGCATGGAGCTGAGCCGCTGCTACAGCAGAGTACAGGTCAGAACCGGAACCAGGAACAGAACCTGAACCAGAACTAGGGACAGATCCTGAACCTAAACCAGAGCTGGATTAGGTCCAGGTGTGGGACCATAATTTACTAAATGAACATCATGCTGTGCTGAAGACTTCAAACTAGCGACTGAGACCATAAACTCATCAGGAAAGTGTTTACTGAGGGAACAAATCAGCTGAGAAGTAGAAACATTTTCTCACAGACTTCTATACAATCACACTTCTTTCTGCAGCCGCTGGAGTCGCCCCCTGCTGGCTGCTGGAGAGGACGCAGGTTTAAGTCGCCCCCTGCTGGCTGTTAGAGAGGACGCAGGTTTAAGTCGCCCCCTGCTGGCTGTTAGAGAGGACGCAGGTTTAAGTCGCCCCCTGCTGGCTGCTAGAGAGGACGCAGGTTTAAGTCGCCCCCTGCTGGCTGCTAGAGAGGACGCAGGTTTAAGTCGCCCCCTGCTGGCTGCTAGAGAGGACGCAGGTTTAAGTCGCCCCCTGCTGGCCGCTAGAGAGGACGCAGGTTTAAGTCGCCCCCTGCTGGCCGCTAGAGAGGACGCAGGTTTAAGGCGCCCCCTGCTGGCCGTTAGAGAGGACGCAGGTTTAAGGCGCCCCCTGCTGGCTGTTAGAGAGGACGCAGGTTTAAGTCGCCCCCTGCTGGCTGCTAGAGAGGACGCAGGTTTAAGTCGCCCCCTGCTGGCTGCTAGAGAGGACGCAGGTTTAAGTCGCCCCCTGCTGGCCGCTAGAGAGGACGCAGGTTTAAGTCGCCCCCTGCTGGCCGCTAGAGAGGACGCAGGTTTAAGTCGCCCCCTGCTGGCCGTTAGAGAGGACGCAGGTTTAAGTCGCCCCCTGCTGGCCGTTAGAGAGGACGCAGGTTTAAGTCGCCCCCTGCTGGCTGCTAGAGAGGACGCAGGTTTAAGTCGCCCCCTGCTGGCTGCTAGAGAGGACGCAGGTTTAAGTCGCCCCCTGCTGGCCGCTAGAGAGGACGCAGGTTTAAGTCGCCCCCTGCTGGCCGCTAGAGAGGACGCAGGTTTAAGGCGCCCCCTGCTGGCCGCTAGAGGACGCAGGTTTAAGTCGCCCCCTGCTGGCTGCTAGAGAGGACGCAGGTTTAAGTCGCCCCCTGCTGGCCGCTAGAGAGGACGCAGGTTTAAGTCGCCCCCTGCTGGCCGCTAGAGGACGCAGGTTTAAGTCGCCCCCTGCTGGCTGCTAGAGAGGACGCAGGTTTAAGGCGCCCCCTGCTGGCCGCTAGAGAGGACGCAGGTTTAAGTCGCCCCCTGCTGGCTGCTGGAGAGGACGCAGGTTTAAGGCGCCCCCTGCTGGCCGCTGGAGAGGACGCAGGTTTAAGTCGCCCCCTGCTGGCCGCTAGAGAGGACGCAGGTTTAAGGCGCCCCCTGCTGGCCGCTAGAGAGGACACAGGTTTAAGGCGCCCCCTGCTGGCTGCTGGAGAGGACGCAGGTTTAAGGAGGTTTCAGGTGCTTCAGGTTCAGACCTGGAGGTTCCTACTTCATTGAGATTACAGAAATAACATTTGGCAACCTCTCGTCACTTCACTACAACTCTTGATTGGCCAGGATGTTAAGTTTCTAATATTTTGGTCTCTGACGGTTCAAGTCTCAGGTGACCTCTCTCTCTCTCTGTGCAGGACTGGTCTCTGGCAGTTGAGGCCTCAGGTGACCTCTCTCTCTCTCTCTCTGTGCAGGACTGTAATCTGGCGGTTCAGGTTCAGGTGACCTCTCTCTCTCTCTCTGTGTTCAGGACTGTCCTCTGGCGGTTCAGGTCTCAGGTGACCTTTCTCTCAGTGCAGGACTGGTCTCTGGCGGTTCAGGTCTCAGGTGACCTCTCTCTCTCTCTCTGTGCAGGACTGGTCTCTGGCAGTTGAGGCCTCAGGTGACCTCTCTTTCTCTCTCTCTGTGCAGGACTGGTCTCTGGCGGTTCAGGTCTCAGGTGACCTCTCTCTCTCTCTCTGTGCAGGACTGGTCTCTGGCAGTTCAGGTCTCAGGTGACCTATCTCTCTCTCTGTGTGCAGGACTGGTCTCTGGCGGGTTCAGGTCTCAGGTGACCTCTTTCTCTCTCTCTCTGTGTGCAGGACTGGTCTCTGGCGGTTCAGGTCTCATGTGACCTCTTTCTCTCTCTCTGTGTGCAGGACTGGTCTATAGCGGTTCAGGTCTCAGGTGACCTCTCTCTCTCTCTCTCTCTGTGAGCAGGACTGGTCTCTGGCGGTTCAGGTCTCAGGTGACCTCTCTCTCTCTCTCTGTGCAGGACTGGTCTCTGGCAGTTGAGGCCTCAGGTGACCTCTCTTTCTCTCTCTCTGTGCAGGACTGGTCTCTGGCAGTTCAGGTCTCAGGTGACCTCTCTCTCTCTCTCTCTGTGTACAGGACTGGTCTCTGGCGGTTCAGGTCTCAGGTGACCTATCTCTCTCTCTGTGTGCAGGACTGGTCTCTGGCGGTTCAGGTCTCATGTGACCTCTTTCTCTCTCTCTGTGTGCAGGACTGGTCTCTGGCGGTTCAGGTCTCAGGTGACCTCTCTCTCTCTCTCTGTGTGAGCAGGACTGGCCTCTGGCGGTTCAGGTCTCAGGTGACCTCTCTCTCTCTGTGTTCAGGACTGGTCTCTGGCGGTTCAGGTCTCAGGTGACCTCTCTCCCTCTCTGTGTTCAGGACTGGTCTCTGGCGGTTCAGGCCTCAGGTGACCTCTCTCTCTCTCTCTGTGTGTGCAGGACTGGTCTCTGGCGGTTCAGGTCTCAGGTGACCTCTCTCTCTCTCTCTCTGTGTGCAGGACTGGTCTCTGGCGGGTCAGGTCTCAGGTGACCTCTCTCTCTCTCTCTGTGTGCAGGACTGTCATCTGGCGGTTCAGATCTCAGGTGACCTCTCTCTCTCTCTCTCTGTGTACAGGACTGGTCTCTGGCGGTTCAGGTCTCAGGTGACCTATCTCTCTCTCTGTGTGCAGGACTGGTCTCTGGCGGTTCAGGTCTCAGGTGACCTCTTTCTCTCTCTCTCTCTGTGTGCAGGACTGGTCTCTGGCGGTTCAGGTCTGAGGTGACCTATCTCTCTCTCTGTGTTCAGGACTGGCCTCTGGCGGTTCAGGTCTCAGGTGACCTCTTTCTCTCTCTCTGTGTGCAGGACTGGTCTCTAGCAGTTCAGGTCTCAGGTGACCTCTTTCTCTCTCTGTGTTCAGGACTGGTCTCTGGCGGTTCAGGTCTCAGGTGACCTCTCTCTCTCTCTGTGTGCAGGACTGGTCTCTAGCAGTTCAGGTCTCAGGTGACCTCTTTCTCTCTCTGTGTGCAGGACTGGCCTCTGGCGGTTCAGGTCTCAGGTGACCTCTCTCTCTCTCTGTGTGCAGGACTGGTCTCTAGCAGTTCAGGTCTCAGGTGACCTATCTCTCTCTCTGTGTTCAGGACTGGCCTCTGGCGGTTCAGGTCTCAGGTGACCTCTTTCTCTCTCTCTGTGTGCAGGACTGGTCTCTAGCAGTTCAGGTCTCAGGTGACCTATCTCTCTCTCTGTGTGCAGGACTGGCCTCTGGCGGTTCAGGTCTCAGGTGACCTCTCTCTCTCTCTCTCCACGAGCAGGACTGGCCTCTGGCGGTTCAGGCCTCAGGTGACCTCTCTCTCTCTCTCTGTGTGCAGGACTGGTCTCTGGCGGTTCAGGTCTCAGGTGACCTCTCTCTCTCTCTCTGTGTGCAGGACTGGTCTCTAGCGGTTCAGGTCTCAGGTGACCTATCTCTCTCTCTGTGTGCAGGACTGGCCTCTGGCGGTTCAGGTCTCAGGTGACCTCTCTCTCTCTGTGAGCAGGACTGGCCTCTGGCGGTTCAGGTCTCAGGTGACCTCTTTCTCTCTCTCTGTGTGCAGGACTGGTCTCTGGCGGTTCAGGCCTCAGGTGACCTCTCTCTCCCTCTGTGTGCAGGACTGGTCTCTGGCGGTTCAGGTCTCAGGTGACCTCTCTCTCTCTCTGTGTGTTCAGGACTGGTCTCTGGCGGTTCAGGTCTCAGGTGACCTCTTTCTCTCTCTCTGTGCAGGACTGGTCTCTGGCGGTTCAGGTCTCAGGTGACCTCTCTCTCTCTCTGTGTGCAGGACTGGTCTCTGGCGGTTCAGGTCTCAGGTGACCTCTCTCTCTCTCTCTGTGTGCAGGACTGGTCTCTGGCGGTTCAGGTCTCAGGTGACCTCTCTCTCTCTCTGTGTTCAGGACTGGTCTCTGGCGGTTCAGGTCTCAGGTGACCTCTCTCTCTCTCTGTGTGCAGGACTGGTCTCTAGCGGTTCAGGTCTCAGGTGACCTATCTCTCTCTCTGTGTGCAGGACTGGCCTCTGGCGGTTCAGGTCTCAGGTGACCTATCTCTCTCTCTGTGTGCAGGACTGGCCTCTGGCGGTTCAGGTCTCAGGTGACCTCTCTCTCTCTCTGTGAGCAGGACTGGCCTCTGGCGGTTCAGGTCTCAGGTGACCTCTTTCTCTCTCTCTGTGTGCAGGACTGGCCTCTAGCGGTTCAGGCCTCAGGTGACCTCTCTCTCTCTCTGTGTGCAGGACTGGTCTCTGGCGGTTCAGGTCTCAGGTGACCTCTCTCTCTCTCTGTGTGTTCAGGACTGGTCTCTGGCGGTTCAGGTCTCAGGTGACCTCTTTCTCTCTCTCTGTGCAGGACTGGTCTCTGGCGGTTCAGGTCTCAGGTGACCTCTCTCTCTCTCTGTGTGCAGGACTGGTCTCTGGCGGTTCAGGCCTCAGGTGACCTCTCTCTCTCTCTGTGTGCAGGACTGGTCTCTGGCGGTTCAGGCCTCAGGTGACCTCTCTCTCCCTCTCTCTCTCTCTCTCTCTCTCTCTCTCTCTCTCTCTGTGTGCAGGACTGGCCTCTGGCGGTTCAGGTCTCAGGTGACCTCTCTCTCTCTCTGTGAGCAGGACTGGCCTCTGGCGGTTCAGGTCTCAGGTGACCTCTTTCTCTCTCTCTGTGCAGGACTGGTCTCTGGCGGTTCAGGTCTCAGGTGACTCTCTCTCTCTCTCTGTGTGCAGGACTGGCCTCTGGCGGTTCAGGCCTCAGGTGACCTCTCTCTCTCTCTCTGTGTGCAGGACTGGTCTCTGGCGGTTCAGGTCTCAGGTGACCTCTCTCTCTCTCTGTGTGTTCAGGACTGGTCTCTGGCGGTTCAGGTCTCAGGTGACCTCTTCTCTCTCTCTGTGCAGGACTGGTCTCTGGCGGTTCAGGTCTCAGGTGACCTCTCTCTCTCTCTCTGTGTGCAGGACTGGTCTCTGGCGGTTCAGGCCTCAGGTGACCTCTCTCTCTCTCTCTGTGTGCAGGACTGGTCTCTGGCGGTTCAGGTCTCAGGTGACCTCTCTCTCTCTCTGTGTTCAGGACTGGTCTCTGGCGGTTCAGGCCTCAGGTGACCTCTCTCTCTCTCTCTCTCTCTCTCTCTCTCTCTCTCTCTCTCTCTCTCTCTCTCTGGTCTCTGGCGGTTCAGGTTTCAGGTGACCTCTCTCTCTCTCTCTCTCTCTCTCTCTCTCTCTCTCTCTCTGTGTGCAGGACTGGTCTCTGGCGGTTCAGGTTTCAGGTGACCTCTCTCTCCATCTCTGTGTACAGGACTGGTCTCTGGCGGTTCAGGTCTCAGGTGACCTCTCTCTCCATCTCTGTGTACAGGACTGGTCTCTGGCGGTTCAGGTCTCAGGTGACTTCTCTCTCCCTCTCTGTGTGCAGGACTGGTCTCTGGCGGTTCAGGTCTCAGGTGACTTCTCTCTCCCTCTCTGTGTGCAGGACTGGTCTCTGGCGGTTCAGGTCTCAGGTGACTTCTCTCTCCCTCTCTGTGTGCAGGACTGGTCTCTGGCGGTTCAGGTCTCAGGTGACTTCTCTCTCCCTCTCTGTGTGCAGGACTGGTCTCTGGCGGTTCAGGTCTCAGGTGACTTCTCTCTCCCTCTCTGTGTGCAGGACTGGTCTCTGGCGGTTCAGGTCTCAGGTGACCTCTCTCTCTCTCTCTCTGTGTGCAGGACTGGTCTCTGGCGGTTCAGGTCTCAGGTGACCTCTCTCTCTCCCTCTCTGTGTACAGGACTGGCCTCTGGCGGTTCAGGGTTTCCTGCGGGCTGCAGAGAGTTACAGACTGGCGGCCATGTTGGATTCTGCAGCCGCTGCCCTAAAAGAGGCAGGAAGTCACATGATCCAATCGGATCAGTTCAGCCATAATGACATCATCGGCGTGCTGACAGAGTGTCTGAGTTTGACAGACAGCATCACTGACCCGAGGATTCTGGGTAATCACCTTCAGTACTGTTAAAAAGTGAATTTAATTAAACGGTTTATTTTTCAGCTGATTGAATAACTGTCAGTCTGTCTGCTTCTGTTGTCCAGGTGAGTTGTACCTGTCAGTGGGTGTGTCTTACTGCCATCTCAGGTGTTTCCAGGACGCCGCGCGGTGCTTCCAGCTGGCTCTGGGCCCCGCGGCTCAGCGCCCCCCCCTGCTGGCCAAAGTGCTGCACAACCTGGGAGCTGCTCTGAACTCTGTGGGCCAGTTCACACCTGCTGTGGGCTACCACAGGCTGGCCGCTGGACTCTACGGTCAGACTCCGCCCATCACCTGTCACTGCAATCAATCAATCAGGGGCCGCACTGATCAGGTGTCTCAGAGCAGGAAGTCAGCCCTGACTCTTCTTTAGTTAGTGGATATTAAATTTAATATGTTCATTATGTGTGACATCACAGAAATCAATCAGCAGGTGAGTCACATGATCAGCCTGCAGCTTAAACTCCCTGTGATTGGTCCCAGATTTGGTATACATGTTCACTGTACGTCAGTATATTATGACATCATCATTTACAGGTTTCTGTTTCTGTGTGCAGGCTCTCTGGGTTGCCGTGGCGACCAGGCTCGGTGTTTCAGTAACTTGGCTTTTGCCTTCAGTCAGCTGGGTGATGAAGAGGAGGCGGCGGAGAGCTTCATCCACGCTCTGCAGGGATTCAGAGACACAGGTGATATTAGTAACGGCGTCCTGCTGTCCAGCTTTTAAAGCAGAAACACTGAAATATGAAAGAGAAGAAGGAACTCGCTCTGTACCCGTCTGTGTCTCTGCAGAGGACCACCTGGCTCAGGTCCAGGTGTGTGAGTCGTTGGCAGAGTGTTACCTGAAGCAGAGGAAGCAGAAGAAAGCTGTCCAGCTCTACAAACAGGCTCTGGCCGCCCTGACTCACTGCAAGGTAACAACACAGCAGCGTGTTAATGTAAGGGGGTCAAAGGTCAGAGGTCACGCACTCTAACCAGTCACAGCTCATATTTTATACCTTCAGGACAGTTCTGGCTCTGTTCGGGATCGTCTGGTGGAGCGTCTGACTGCAGCTCTACAGCAGAGTCTGACTGTCAGTCCGCAGGTCTGATCACATGACACAACGCTGACCGACTGCCAAAACACCACATCAAACTGACCGACCGCCAAAACACCACATCAAGCTGACCGACCGCCAAAACACCACATCAAACTGACCGACCGCCAAAACACCACATCAAGCTGACCGACCGCCAAAACACCACATCAAGCTGACCGACCGCCAAAACACCACATCAAGCTGACCGACCGCCAAAACACCACATCAAACTGACCGACCGCCAAAACACCACATCAAACTGACCGACCGCCAAAACACCACATCACGCGACCGACCGCCAAAACACCACTTCAAACTGACCGACCGCCAAAACACCACATCAAACTGACCGACCGCCAAAACACCACATCAAACTGACCGACCGCCAAAACACCACTTCAAACTGTCCGACCGCCAAAACACCACATCAAACTGACAGACCGCCAAAACACCACATCAAACTGACCGACCGCCAAAACACCACATCAAACTGACCGACCGCCAAAACACCACATCAAACTGACCGACCGCCAAAACACCACATCAAACTGACCGACCGCCAAAACACCACATCAAACTGACCGACCGCCAAACACCACATCAAACTGACCGACCGCCAAAACACCACATCAAACTGACCGACCGCCAAAACACCACTTCAAACTGTCCGACCGCCAAAACACCACATCAAACTGACCGACCGCCAAAACACCACATCAAACTGACCGACCGCCAAAACACCACATCAAACTGACCGACCGCCAAAACACCACATCAAACTGACCGACCGCCAAAACACCACATCAAACTGACAGACCGCCAAAACACCACATCAAACTGACCGACCGCCAAAACACCACATCAAACTGACCGACCGCCAAAACACCACATCAAACTGACCGACCGCCAAAACACCACATCAAACTGACAGACCGCCAAAACACCACATCAAACTGACAGACCGCCAAAACACCACATCAAACTGACCGACCGCCAAAACACCACATCAAACTGACCGACCGCCAAAACACCACATCAAACTGACCGACCGCCAAAACACCACTTCACGCTGACTGACAGGAGCAACTTTTACATTTGATTCATTAATCACCTTTTTTCACACTCAGAGGCCACGCCCACACAGACCACCTATTGGACAGCGGGCCAGGTAATAGCCAATCAGCTCTACTGTCACTGTAACACACCTGAGCCAGAACATAGCAGAGCAACTATTTACTTGCAATTTATTTATTCTGACATTTATCAGTTCTGTCCCTGCCCAGCTGTTTTCATTAATCTGCTCCGCCCCCCTCACAGGAAGAGTGACATCACACAGAGTCCATGCCAAGTGTCCAACCAGCAATCAGACAGTCAGAGGTGGGAGGGGCAAGGTGAGTCTCTCCTGTTCCAGGTAGAATAACAAAGTAAACATAGAGGCTTCACAACTTTATTTTGCATGATTTAAAATATAAATATAAATGTCAGAGTTGACACAGAGGAAGCACCACAGGAGGAAAAGGTACAAACTCCCAGGTGACTGGCAGGTAAGCTCCAACTAAACGAGCAAAGTAAATCCAACACGGCAGCGAGTGTGAGTGAGTGAGACAGAGTGTCATTACCTGCTGATCAGTTTCCCAGTGTTGACGTCAGTAACTTCCTCCTGTCTGTTGTGGGTCCGTCAGGTGCTACAGTGTCAGAGCAGGAGGCCACAGCTAGACAGGAAGCAGCAGAGCATTGCGGGTCAGCAGGCCGCGGAGCCACTGGAGCACCTGGACTACACAGGTTACACACAGATTGATCATAATCGCGCAGCACGGCAGTTATTTATAAATCAGTCTTATTGATTTGCTACGACCCGACCTGCAGACGGGCCCTGAGCCAGAGGTTGAGAACCTGTTTCTTTTGTCTCTCTGTGCTTCCAGGTCAGACCAGCTGCAGCACAGTGAGTCACCTGTTACACCTGGTCCTGAGTTCTCCTGGTTCTCTGAAGTTCTACTGAGAACCCAGGAGAACCCGTCTATGACACATAATTTCAGAACTGTCTGAAGATGTTCCATTAACAGACAGGAAGTGTTCGTGATGACGTACCTGTGTGTTTTCAGGTGAGCTGTGGTTGGACAGAGAGAAGCTGCTCACTGACAGGTGACTGACCGCCGTCAACCAAACCAAACTTTATTTATAAAACTTTATTTATAAAGATCCAAATTATCGACATTAAAAACACAAAGCTGATTGGCCCTTGTTTTCTTTCAGTGAAACCTCATTGGTCCAGGAGAAAGATACCCCACCCGCCGGCCCAGATGATGTCAGAGAGGCCACACCCCCCAGGTGGAGGTCTCGGATCTGTTTACTGATGTAGACCCGCCTGCCTGACACTTTCATTGATCACATGTTGATGAGAGATCAAAGTCTCTGTGATCACTGGACTGAATATAGAGACTGGTTTCCATGGAAACTACAGGAAGAAAACAGCGTTGCTTTAATATGCGTCATCACAGAGATGTGCAGATAACTGCAGATACTATACTGTGTGTGTGTGAGTGTGTGTGTGTGTATATATATACACACATATATACACACACACATACACACACACACATATATATATATATGGTGTGTGTGTGTGTATATGTGTGTGTGTATATGTGTGTGTGTGTATATATATATATATATATATATGTGTATATATATATGTGTGTGTATATATATGTGTATATATGTGTATATATATGTGTATATATGTGTAATATAGATATATATATGTGTATATATATATATACACACATATATATATACATATAATATACACATATACACATATATATATACACACACACATATACACATATATATATATATACACATATATCACACATTATATATATATATATATATATATATATATGTGTGTATATATGGTGTATATATATATGTGTATGTGTACACTGACAAAATTATAAAGGCAATACTTTTGTTTTTGCCCCCATTCATCATGAGCTGAACTCAAAGATCTAAGACTTTCTCTATGTACACATGTTGCCGAGATTATCCATCCACCTCACAGGTGTGGCATATCAAGATGCTGATCAGACAGCATGGGGATTGCACAGGTGTGCCTTAGGCAGGCCACAATAAAATTTAAAAATATGCATATATTTATTTAAAAATAAGACAAAGCCACCGCACACTGACATAACTTGCGGTGGCTTGTTTATGATTTCTCATGTTATATTCTGCGACGTTCCAACACCTGACTGTTGTTGCTGCCCTGGAAGTGTCAGTGTCGTGATGTGCTTGTTAAATAATAACAAATGTTCAGTAAATTAATTTTGTATTTAGACGTCTATTCAGAGGAGAATGTCTGAAGACTCTCAGTCAGCCGGTTCTGACCATCCGAGAGGTGAAACGTCTTGATTTAAACCTCCCTGGAGCGGAAGATAATCTGCTGGATCAGCTCGGCTCTGAGCCGGCGAGCAGAGCGTGGAGGGGCGGTGGTCCATCAGGGGACACCATGTCCAAATCTGACGGCTTCTAACTTTAAAGACTTTAATAAACCTGAACAGCTGGTTCTTGTTCAGCTTATCATTATTCATATAAACAGGTCACCTGACCATCAGCTGATCGTTTAACTTCCTGCTGCCTGATACAGCACAA